GAGTCTTTAATCCATGAAACTGTCCCAGAAAAACCTACTGGAGGACCTGATTCTCTTCCAGATAAATCCAATCCTGAACTTCTTAATTATCCTAAGTCCTTAGAATCCTCGTCCAATTCACCCCCTATCAGGCTGCAGCAGATTGAGGGGTTCGAGTCTACATTGCAGAAAAGTAGGAGGAGTGTTAAGACAATGAAGAAGAGGTTGATGAATCAAGGGGAATTTGTTACTGACAAGAGCATTCCAGTGGGTGAGATTGACAAAGATGCTCTAAAGGAACCCAATTCCTTAGTAGAACGATTTATAAAAGCCCAAAAGTTTGTGGATGAAGCTTCCGATGAAACTATTGAGAAACAAAGTGGAGCATCTGTGAAGGGTAGCAGTAAGTCAAAGAAGAGTCTAGTTGAGCAAGCTATGTCTGAAGGTGATACTGTGGGGCTTGTAAGTTGGAAAGAGAAGCCTGTTGAAAGATCTAGAAAACGAAAATGGGATACTGTAGGAGAACCTGGTTCTCTGAAGATCATGCCTAGTGACAGTGGTCTTTGGCAGGAGATATTGAGAACTTAGAAAGTCTTGTGGGGTCGTACGTTTGATCCAGCAATTTCAGAGATGGCTGGTATGAGGCAAATTCTGGAGATAGTGGAATTTCAGCAATGGGAGCACTTGTTTCAGGAGAACATACCTATGGTGTACGAAGATATGGTACAAAAATTCTACGCATCTCTCTTCACTGTTGAAGGGGATAACATCTGTGTGCTAGTAAATAGAGTAGACATTGTACTTGACGCTTCAACATTGGGGAAGGTTCTCCAAATTCCATGTGAAGGAATGTCCTCAGTCAAAGGTGTTTGTGGTGTCAACTTTAGGAGAGCTATCATGAAAGAGCAAGCTATTCAGCAGGGAAAATAGTGCATGAGAAGGTATTACTTCTTGAGTATCAGCTTCTCTTTAAACTGGTTAATAAGGCGCTCTTACCTCATTCTGAGAGGCGGTCTATTGCTACAAAATTTGATCTGGTCTTAATGGAGGCTCTTAATGAGTTTGTCCCGATCAATCTGCTAGCAATTATGATAGATCATATGCAAAAGGTGGCAAACTTTAAAGGTTGGAATCGTGGGCTTCCATATGGCTTTCTCCTCACTCAAGTATTTAAGTTCTACAAGGTCCCCTTGGGTAATCCCAGAGTGGGCACATGCAAGAAAACATTCTCTAAAACCACTCTGGAAGAATGTGAGTGCGTAGAAAGGGTTGGTGGAAGTATCTCGACCATTTCTCAGCTGATCAATGCTCAAAATGCAGCTTCTGAAGAGATCAGAAGGTTGAGGGCTCAGAATGCCATACTAGAAACTCAGCTCAGTCAAGCAGTTAAAGGACCCGATTCCGTTAATGAAGAATTTCCCGCCTAATAAAGGAAAATGATAAGCTTCGCGCAAAACTGCTTGAAGAACAGCTGTCTGGAAATGCCCGACTGGAGCTAGTTCTCAAAACCCTTGCTGCTTCTCTTTCCTAGTATTCCTCTTCTAGTGCCTCTTAGATACCCCCTAGTGACCCGTGTCCTCTGTTATGATGTTTTGTGGCTTCTGTTTCTATTTTTGGTTTGTCGTTTTTTGCTGATGGCATGCTGGATTTCACCATTACTGCTCCTGTTTTGCTCAGTCCATTGTTAATATCAACGAAACAGCTCTTTTTTTTGCTTGTAAAATGTTGTTTTCCTTTGGCTTCCCTTTTCTGTCATGTTGTGTGCACATATGTGACGTGAGTTTGGCTGTGTTAGACTTTTTTATGATGTTTACCTGCTTGTGTATTTTAATGATTCCAAAAGGGGGAAGATAGTAGTAATGAGTAGTGTATACACTGTGATAATTGTCATAATAGTGTATATATTGTGAAATTGGGGATCAAAAGCAAAAGGTCAGGGGGAACTTGTGAGAAAAAATTGATGCAAAAACAGGGGATCTGATTAAGGTGGAATCAAAAGTAAAAGGTCAGGGGGAACTTGTGAAGCTCCTGGTACCTCATCTGGTTATTTCCGCTCTAAACAAATACTATCAATGCCTAAGTTTGTCATCATCAAAAAGGGGGAAATTGATGGGTTTTCAATGCTGTTGCCTTATGCTTCTTATGTTTTGATGATCTAACAAACTTATTGTTAAGAACCAGATAGAGAACCTGACTCACTTGGTACACATTTCAAATGAACGAAGTTTAGTTTGAACTCCAGCAAATGTACTACTACAAAGAGGAATACGACAGGGACCTGATCCCTTGGTATTCTCTAACATAAGTATAAGTCAACTATACAGCTGGAACGCAACTGCCAAAAGTGACTGTCTGCAACTGTACAAGCGACAGTGCAGCAGACAGTGCAGTAGTCACTTCCCATTGGGAAGAAGCATGTACCAATAATTGACATCACCATTGTGATGTCTTTTGTAGTATAACAACCTGGTGCAAGGCACAACAACTTCACTTGGGTATTTAGTGATATTCTCTCAAGCGATAAAGTGTTGATCCAGCATTGAAGTCACAAGTGTGTCAAGAACAAGAAGACAACTCCACTAAAGGATCAGTTTCACAATGAGCCTATGTGTATCCGTAGTTGAGTTGTAATCTTGTTATTTGTTCTTCATTGTAACTCCTATCTTGCTTTCTTAGAAGCTGTGTTTTAGGAAACCCAAAATCACAAACCTCTAAGTTTGTGTTGTGACTAGAGTTAGTCATAAGTTAAAGTCTTTGTAACTAAAGAGTGACAAAATGGTTTGTGGTAAGAGTATCACAAGTTAGTTGAAGTTGAAGTCTTTGTAATGCTGTTATTACAAAGTGGCTTGTAATAGGTGTTTACAAGTTAGTGAAGTTGAAAGCCTACAAGTGTATGTCGTGGTTTTTGTCCCATTGAGTGGGATTTTTTCACGTAAAAATCCCGTGTCTCTTTTACTTATTGCTTCATAAGTATTCTCAGTGGAAACACATAGAGGATCGGGTACTCAAAGGGTTTGGTGGACTCATATAAATTAACAGCATGGCACACAAGTCATCAACATCTTCATGCTTTTCAACCATATTTGTTTAACCCTTCTTCTCGTCTTTCTTCGGAGCAGGACACTCCGTAGATTTGTGCCCAACTTTCCCACAGTTGTAGCAATTTCCGTTGAACCACTTCTTGCTTGGGTTGCTTTTCGGTCCAGAAGCCTGCTTCCTCTTTCTCTTATATTTGCTCCCATTATTGTTGAGTTTCCATGGCCTCTCTTTTCAGCAACTTTGTTGTCCTCTTTGATTCTCAACTGAACAATGAGATCTTCAAGGGACATCTCCTTGCGTTTGAGTTTCAAGTAGTTTTTGAAGTTCTTCCACAAAAGAGGCAACTTCTCAATTATCGCTGCTACTTGAAATGCTTCATTGATGACAAGACCTTCAATGAAAATTTTGTTAGTAACAATACTAAGATTACTACTTTCAACATCAATATTAATTTGATTTATACCTTCAGCAAGGAGATCGTGAATAATCACTTGCAATTCCTGGACTTGGGTAATAACAAACTTGCTATCTACCATTTTGTAGTCCAAAAACTTGGCGGCAACGAATTTCTTCAACCCAACATCTTCAGTTTTGTATTTCTTTTCAAGCACAGTCCACAATTCTTTTGACGTCTCCACGCCACGGTAGACATTATACAAATCGTCCTCCGGTCCGCTAAGAATATAATTCTTGTACAGAAAATCAGAATACTTCCATGCCTCAATCACGAGAAAGTGTTCATTCTCTGGAGTTTCATCAGGCAGAACATGAACATCTTCCTTGGTGAACTTCTGCAGACTTAAAGCAGTCAAGTAGAAGAACATCTTCTGCTGTCACCGCTTGAAATCTAACCTAGAAAATTTTTCGGGTTTCTCCACCGGTGCCAACGCTGGTGTTCGACTTGTTGATGTATTGACAGTCACCATTGGAACAGCCTGATTCCCGTTATCATTAGTCATTTCTGTGAAAGAATGACACAAACAAACGTTAAAATCACGTAGATTTTAATCTCCAACGGAGTAAAAAATCACAAAGGTTTTAAACTCCAAAACAGTGAATATAACACAAATACAGATTACAAATTAAATTCTTTAAGCTTGTTAGTAATCTGTATTTGTAAACTAATTCTGCAAAAGCAGAATAACATATAAACAGAAAATGTAAAGAAACAAGAGTTAATCCGAGCCCACTGAATTCACAGTGTTTCCTTAAAGAATTTAACCCCCCTCCTAGTACCCAAGGTTATGGATTATTTCCTCCCAGGATAGAACGAATTACACACTGGTGTAGTGGTACTTCAAACCTAGTATTTCAGCGAACACAAAATTCGATAGCAAATCACACTTACTGTTGCTTTCTTTGAAATTAAAACAATGCAGAAGAAGGAGGAGAAACTCAGAAAATCATATGGAAAATCTGAGAGAATGGATTTGTATTTATAGCCAATGTTGGGCTGAAATTTGAAGAGGTCAACTCTTCAGAATTGATATTTCTGCAAAACGGCCACATCATAAATGTCGTAACATAAATGGCTATTTATTCAACAATAAAGAGGGAAAATTGAAGAGGGTAGTTAATTTTCTGTTACAAAAAACAGAAAACGGAAAATTGGAAACGGTTGGATTTTAATATTAATATTTTTTTGATTTAATATTAATATTTTGTTATTAAAATGAATATTTAATAATATTTCTGTTAATATTTACTAATAACAAATAAATTTGATCTAAAAAGATAATCAAGCCGAAGCCGAGCGATGACGGCGCGAGGCTTGTCTTCTTCTCTAACTCTTTAAGAGCTAGAAGAAGAGTAATTATTTATATACTCATTAAAAACTTTTTCCTCTTCCAATACAAACAATATTCTTTCATGGGGAAATTTTTAAAATTTCCCTTAAAAATTTCATTTTCCATTCACCAACTTTTAACCATTTAATATACTTAAAACTACAACAATAGTAACAATGGGGTGTAAACGATCCTTATAATAAGAAAGGAATTAGGAAAAGATATTTTCGTCAGCGCCGGAACATTTTGTGGCGGGCAATTAATTCAGGCTTATACTAAGAAAAAACAGCAAGTTATCCATGATAGGGCAGTGGTTGTTTTTCTTGCTGAGAACCCTTCCCCACTAACACCCACATTTTTCAATCCTAAATCAGTAAAACGTACGTCTCTGCAGAAGTTTTTGACAATTTTTCGCGATCCAAATTTCAGTCAATACTTTATATTCCAGCAAGATTTCTCTAATTTGTGGCTAATGGTATGATTGTGCTTCAACTATTGTTTGATTACAGATGGAAGGAAGTGCAATCAAGGAGGCGGGTATCAGTATCAGTCAGAAGAAGAAAATATTTGTAGCTGGTGCAACTGGAAATACTGGGAAGAGAATTGTTGAGCAGCTTTTGGCTAAAGGTTTTGCTGTTAAGGCCGGGGTTCGTAATGTTGACAAGGCTAAGTCTATCTTACCTGAAGCAAACCCTCTTCTTCAAATTGTGAGTATTTTTGAATTTTTGGTTCCTCAATTTGTGATTTATATTTGCTATACTTTGGATGCATAACTGGCTAGCTTTAAGTTCTTAATATTACTGTTAATTCAAGAATTTGTCCTTCTTACATAAAGTATCTGTTTGCTCAATACTAATGAAAAGTGAAATGATAAATTCTTAATTAGGATGGAGTTGTTATTGAAACATATACACATTTACAGGAAAATCTGCTTAAATTTGTTTACATGTGGAGCTTAACAAACTTGGTGCTCAGATAATCCAATTTTGTCTGTTGCTTAGCAGCCAGAAGCACTTCCTAATTTTCATTAAAAACAATAAGTGGGTGCTGGCACTTTAACATATATAGTTTTAAGTGCATGAGACTTTGGTATATTCAGTTGAACAAATTAATATTACTAATTTAGGTCTAAATTTTTTAATAAGTTTGCCTCCATAAGAGTTTTGTTGTATGGGAACTTTCACTCAATTCATTAATAGGACAGTTTTCTCGGAACATATCTAGAGGATTTAGGAACAAGTACTACTATTTAATTTTTGTCATGGAGAAAGCCTCACTTTCCAAACTAGAAGCCTCAAACTTAAGCATACATTCTTACCCGCTTCTTCTTATTACATGTCTTGCCTTGTCATTCTTACTAAAGGTATCAAATTATTTATAGGATAATTGGAGATACAATGAAAACCTTATACCTTCTCTACAGGGAATTTCAGCTTTGAGTGTAGGTGTACCTTTAACCTTCTAAGTTTAGCCTACAATAAGTTTAAATTCCATTCTCAACATTTATAGGACTTGGTGCTACTTGAACACTACAACACTGCTTTATGGATTCCTAGT